TCCAATAACATTCATGTATGTAGTGTGAAAATATAAATTGGTTAAAAACTAGAGTACATTGAATATTATGAAAGTTAAAATGTATAAAACAAGCTAAAAAGTAACATCTAAAATAAAGTAAAGGTCATCTATATGATCAAAATGAATGAAATAAGTTAAAATACAGAGTATGTTGAAGATCGCTAACTTTAAAAAGAGCCAAAAAAAGTTGCAAATTGCATCTAACATTGAATAAAATAACACATGAAAAACGTATGTTTTAGTAATTACACTTGTAATATATAACAGATAAGTTAAAAGTATTGATTAAAATGAATTCTGGGTAGAATAAATTTAATACTAAAAATGAGTAATGTAATTAAGCTTACGGAAAGTAAATCTGGTATTATGAACAGAAGATTTAGGAAATAAGGTAAAATTCTGAGTATATAGGGAAGTCTTAAAAAAAATTTACATCTAAAATTAAGGCCTTCTGAATTAATCATTAAATTCGAAAATAATTGTCGTTAAGGGACCTAGAAAATAACCATCATATACTTAGTAAATAGCTGGAATACAAAGGAAACTAGTCTAAAGTCAAAACATTATTAACAAAACCTCCTGAAAATCAATAAAAGCTAATCTCTTATCAAAGTGTGACGTCATCTTATCAGTTAAATGAAGAATCCCCGAAACATTCCTACTTATCTGCTGCGCCTCCGCTTGCACCGCCTCTGAATTTGCACCGCCTCATCCGCAATCCGCCTGCGAGCTTGCTCCGCGCTCCGCCTCCTGCCCCTGAACGCCCCGTTTCACACTACTTAAAACAAATTCAAAATTTCAAATTTGGTCTTCCACATGTCCATATTCGTAGAAGGATGACGTTATTCAAAATTCGATGGCTGTATGTACCTTTGTTTTATCACAATGCGAGAAATAGACATATATTTATGCAGATATTTCATTATTTAATTTCTTCTAATATAATGCAGGACTCTAACATTGGGTGGCAACAGTTTGAAAAGTGAAACGGACATTTATAGTGATTCAATGCAAAATTGCAAAACGAAAACAATAGTCCTTCAGGGACAAAGCCCCTTAAATAACAAAAGGGGAAATATGCGAGGTAATATGGTATACTTTCTTTTGTTCATAGTATGAATGATGAAGTTGTTATTGATGATGTTAAATCATCACAAATTGCAGTCATTTATTTTATTTTGCTTATTTATTTTCGCATGGGGAAAAGTTTGTTTACTTTAATTTCTACATCTATGAAGCGTTATGAAATTCTGATAGTCATGTCCAATTAACGCTGAAACCACTCTGTGTAGCTAGTTAAGAACGGCCGGCCATTTGCCACTTAATTCTTTGGGAATGGCTAATGCCCACCATTATTTGGCCGACCCATCACTGAGATCGTTGCTGCTAGGGGCGACCAAACTACATCTGAAAGAAAGCGGAAAGCTTCTTTCAGATGTAGTTTCGTGAAGAACACCTCAGGGGATGGATCCGAGGGACTTCCACTCTTCTTCCCTTACCACCAAATGTTTTGAGAGGCCGGTACGCCGGTGCCCCTTGAAAATTGAAAGAAAGAAATCTGTTAAGTAAGAACTTTAAAAAATAATTTATATCTTAAAAGACCTCAAAGAAAAATTTTAAAAGTATTCCATCTGCTTCATTGATATATTTAATTCATTACAAGAAATCGGTACTTAGATTTTCTTTACATCTTATGGTCAGATCCAATATTTATATTTATATCAATAAAGTAATTAAACAAAAAGGCAGGCAGTACGATACTACAATGAAACTTATAAATGCAGCCTTAATAAGCTTTTAGTGTTATTATAAATAATACTTAAGTATTGCTGAACAGTCCAGGTAAACTGTCTTAAGAAAATCTAAAAAGCAAATCTAACAGATTGGTTTAACAGTTAGGGGATACTGTTCGATACATTAATACCAAATATAGGAATTTAACAAAGGCTTGTCTGCTTTGAGGAAAGGATGAGCGCGATTTAGAAGGGAAAAATGCCGCATTAGAGTTTCCTACTGTTCTTATATTCTGTTTGACTATAGTAAACAATATAATTTTGGAAACGGTTAATATACAAAATATATTACATTAGTGACTACAATTTTTACTTCCTTGTGCTTACTTCCTTAAAGGAAGTAATGCAATCGCAAAAAAATTCGGGTATCATATTTCAACGAAAACGCCCATTTTGACCTCTTGAATCCATTTGAACGATATTTTGCTTGACATCTGTACATACGGACAGAATAAAGAACTTTTTTTGAAAAACGAATTGTAAAATGGATTCAGAAGAGATTTTTCTGACGTTTATATGTACGTACATACGTATCTCGCATAACTCAAAAACGAGTAGCCTCAGAACGATGAAGTTTTGTACATGGGACTACTAAAACATCTAGCCGAGCACCTATTTTTTTGCTTGCAATCGGGTATATAAATATGCATAAATATATATGTATATATACCCACTTTGTTACTCGGTTCGGCGAGCTCAGTTTGTTTTCTTCTTATATGTTGGCAAATTGTGCATTTTTTGTTTTCAAAGGGATTTAATTATGTTGTTCTAATGTTCCTGTTAAGGTGTTTATATCTTTTGTTAATCTGCATGTAATCGTTCTAGAATTATCAACAAGTTAGAAGTTGTTTAAGTGCTACTAAGCCTATCGAAGCCGTCATTTACTAACATTTGAAACTCTTAATAGAACAGTCAGTTTCTGCACCAACTTCTGTACCTTTTTGCCGCTTGGGACCAAAAGTAAAATTTCAATTTTGTGCACCAAAAAATCTGCCTTCTTGCCTGCTGACGGAATTGCTTGTTTTTGCGTAGAAACTCTAATTTTAAGTTTAAAAATTATTTTATTAACGGTTTTAACTGTATTTGTTGTTTTATGTTTTCTGCATTTTACAATTTTTAATGAAGGTGTTTAGAGTTTTTTACCTAGCCGCGAAGTGAGAACTAAATTAATTGAGAAATATATCTCCGATGAAATAAGTTTAGATGAAATGGAGCAAAGAATGTGTATAATTTTATAGGCCGTACAAGAAAGTCATGTTGTACCCACATCAGATTTTTAATTTCAGAATAAGATGATTAGCGGTAAAAAATTATGAGATAGTTCTAAATATACTATAGAAAATGAAATTTAAAGAAAGACTCAGTTAGGAGGCAAACCCATTCAAGCCTTCGGCGGGGCTCCGACATTACATAAAGCAGCCCTCTAACAACCTACGATCAACAGGAGTTTCAATCTACGATCAACATACGATCAACAGCGTGATCCAGGCGATGACACGTTTTAGTTCACCACATTTTTCGTGTCACTGTAAAGCAAACCGTAGACATTGTACAGTGGGAAAAGAATGAAATTCTTGTTTCCAAACTATGGATCTTCCAACCACTAACAATATATACTGCTATGCTCCACAACCATAAGACTACGAACTGTAATACTTGCACACTGAGCGCCAAGCATTACTAGTCATATCAGCTAATCTGCTATTCTCTTCGCTACCGATTGTATCATGTATGATATGCCTCAATTTCCTTCCGTGGGCTCCCTGTATGAGATTTGGTACAGGAGAAAGTACCACTGGTGGCTCATTACATCCTATTTGATATGCAGAAACGAAATTTTGACATTTTAAATGCGCATAAATGGGGTCAGAATGCCGTGAAAAACTTAACGAAATTTCTTGAGTATTAGCCTTGCCGTTAAAAGTATTATTCATTTTTTTTCTACAAATATCAAATGTAAACCAATTTCCGTTAGAAAGTCCTTCACGAAGGCCTCCCTTCCTTTTGGCAGATAACCTTCGAGTACTTTACTTACAATAAAATGAACCATCACGTGCTTTTGGTTTCATCTACTTTCCGAGTTTTATTTAAAAGAAAAAAAAAAAAAAAAAAAAAAAAAACCACAAAGATGAAATTTCTCATTAACCTCAATGAGCGCTTTCCTGCAGCTTTCTTCCCAGTAATAACTTGTGATAAGTTTAGCAACTACACAGGAAAAAAAAATTATGCACTATCATGCTTTTAAAAATGGATGAATGTTATTATCGATCACACCTTCCTTGTATTACCCAGACGGTATAGTGGTTAGAGGAGCCTACTGCGATAGCGAAGAGCTCGGGTTCGAATCCCGGAGAAACACGGATGCTTGTAAGTATCTGTGCGGCGTGCGGGGCACTCTAAATATGCGGCGATTCAAATGTCCTCTCTAAGAGGTTGTTGGTAGGGAAAGAGTGGTGGGAGACCTTCAGATCCGACACCCGGGGTGCTCTCTTTTAAACGGGGGGGGGAGGCGGAAGTCGTACTGTCACCTGTATGGTGCTCAAGGCTTTGCCAATGACAAGTGCAGTCTTCCTCTCCTTGCTACGATGAATTTCGCGGGCTTGTTCTGATGTCACTGTCAGGCAAGTGGGATAAGTCAATCTGCTGCCTTTATTTTCTATTTAATAAAACCTCCATTATGTAGTTTTAAATTTTAATTTTATCTGCAATAACCCCTTTTTATTGAAATCAGTTCGATTTATAGGATTGCTTTGCTTAACTTCCACGATTTTTTTTCCTTCGTTTTGCAACAAAACCACAAGATTCACCACCCTGTCAAGGCTGAAAGTCATTCTGGAATACTAACCTTATTCCTGGCATGTAAACCCTCCTAACAAATGGATTAATGCATAAACTTCATTTAAATATTCAGTAACATATATCCTGAAGGAAGTCTATGCATCTCAAATAACTTTCACTTATTTCATGACAGTATAATTTATGCATCATTGAAAGAAACAAAATTAAAGGAAACTGTCTAAGTATTGTGTCTTTTATAAAGCACGTAGTAAAGGTAGATAGATATATTGTCTACGTACTTTTTTTCTCTCTTTGCATCTCAGATATTTCACGTTTGGCCATATTGTGGCTGAATTTCTTTTGAGTCGTAAGGTCAAATTTACTGCCCTCTGCTACATTTTTATTTCTCATTTACGATTACTTTTCCCTTTCTTTTTCCCCAAGATGATGAATGCACCTCTTCCACTTACTCAAGGAATATATATAAAGCTAAGAAGACACGTTACCCCAGTTGTTAAAAGAAACTTATAAGAATTAAGCATTTTACAAGCTGAAAAGTGTACAGTGGATTAGTTCAAAATGCTAAAGGTAAGCCTTTTTCATATATCTATTAGTAACTTGTCACGTGAAATATGATAGTTTTCCTGTCTATTACTTATTAATAATTATTTTTAAATCAGGTGAGTATTTTGGCGAAGTTTAAGTTCATGAAAAGCAATTTCTTATTTAAATCAGTTATAATATCTATCCAATTTTCCCCATTAAAGAAACAGTTTGTAAAAAAATATATAATTTCTTGCAGAATAGTTAGAGATCAATCTGGGATTATTCAGAACAGTCATTATTTTAAAACCTGGAAGTCATGAAACAAATAATAATAATAATAATAATAATAATTTACTGCTATCTGCAATATTTTTAATATCAAGGAAGTTTTACCTGTACTGCCTATTCAAACATAATCCTTGTACCTCGGACCTCGAATTTTAAAAGAAAAGTTATAAAAAATTTGCTTTTTAAAGAAAGAAAGACTTCATGAATTAATGCGTTAAATGTCTATACGTGAAATAATAATAAATACGTAAAATCTCTATATGTGAAATGTCTATAGGTCAAATGTAGACAAGTGATTGCTTTCTTAGATGGCCTACGATTGAAATGCTTTCAATTTATTGTGAAATGTTTACAAACATACATAAGAAATCGCAATTAAGTTGCTGTACAACAATGACTGATTAGAAGGAAATTTTCTTGTGCTGCCTTCTTATACAAAATTGTAACTCTTACATTGCTGATTTTGAACAAAAAATTAAGTTCTGAAATTAAGTGCAATCGCAATCAAGTTGCTGTACACAACGACTTTACAGAAGGAAAATTTTCTTCTGCTCCTTCTTATATACAAAACCGTAAATCTTACGTCGCTGATTTTGAACAAAAATTAAGTTCTGAAATTAAGTGCAATCGCGTTCAAGTTGCAGTACACAACAACTTTATAGAAAGAAAATTTTATTACGCTGCTTCTTATACAAAATCGTAATTTTTACGTCACAGATTTTGAACAAAAATTAAATTCTAAAATTAAGCGTACTTTAATAAAGACAGAATGCGGAATGCACACAAGCAATTTATGATGAGTTTTATCAGATTATTTAAGATTGAGCTCCATATAACAATAGTTCCAATTTATGATCCTAATGAAATTTTTATACACAATCTGAAGAAATCTGAATCAAATTCACTACTTAGGTTCTTGAAAACTACCAATTTTTAGACAAGGATCTCATTAGAATCAAATGCTTTGTAGGCTACACTACCAATCATCAATCTACTTATAAATTTGTTCTTAACTACTTAAAATCAAACATATAAAAATTTAACTTCTTTAGATTAATTAATTATTCCTTTTTTACCTTTTACTTAGTAACGCCACGAGCTTTTAATGCAAGCATTGTAGCCTAAAATTATATTTACGTACAAAACATATTATTTTTTGACTGATATAAACCCTAAAGGAATATCTCATTTGGTTTTGGTTTATTTAATTATGACAAAGCATTCGAGGGCTATCTGCCTAAGGAGAGGGATGCCTTTGTGGAGGACTTTCTAAGAAAAGATCACTAGTATGCACGTTACGCATGGGAAAAACCACGAAAACGCATATGCAGCCAGCCTATTCGGAGTGTTTCGAGTCCCGTACCAAACTACCAGTGTTCAGTGACTTTACCGCTCGGCCGCTGTTGAAGCCAGAAATTTTTCGATTTTATATTCAGTTCGAAATCGATTGAATTATTTTATACTGTAAAACTAATATTTAAGTATTCATTACTTCTGATATTTGAACATTTCGCTCTTTGCTCCAGTGTTCTACAAATTGTAGAGTTTGTCACATTTTTTTAAGAGAGCCTTATTTTTGTCTTCAGTTTACTGTCCACCTCCGTTGTAGTATTTATGTCACATTTTAGCAAACCAGGCATAGGAATTTCATAATTAACATAATGTGTTCAAGCCTATTAATTTTTTGACTAGCTTCATTTTAAGTTAATATACTACTTGGCAAAGAGTTTGATTAAAACTGAGTTCTTTTAAAGGATTTGAGGTTATTGTTTTAAAACCCGCAAATCCGAAAATTCTTGAATAATTGTTGATTGCATTCTAAAACTATGGATCCCCATCGATTTCATTTTCTTGATTTCAATAACATGTTAATTACATTTAAAAGTCTACAAATAAACAACCTAAACTTCTGAATTAATAAAACATGAATATATGAGCTATTTAAAGTATTTTCGTGACTGGAAATATATGTCTTTTATCAACGATTGAGTAAAGACAGGCCGAGTGAAATCTTTTATAGACATGGTGTATATCTGTAATAAAATTCCTCTTTAAAAATGTTTTATAGACCTAGCTGAACTATACTAGGTATTTTACTAGGAATGTTTATCTTGCATAATTTCATCTTATAAAATTGCTTATGTTAAATTAATAGTACACAGTAGAGCTGTCTTGCATTTATAACTTTTACTTATAATGCTTAATGCTCATGTATATTGTTTCAGTTTTGATTAAATGCGGTACATTGTCTAGAATTCTAAACTGCAAAAGCATATCTCGCATGATCTGTATTTCTGTCATAAGAACCTGTGTCAATACCGTTTGAAAACGAAGGAAAGTCGTAATTTGCTTTTATCTGCATTTTCAACTTAATATAGATGCCTTAATTTAGAAAAGAAAACAAAAACAAATCTGTAAAAGAGACTGGTAAAAATTTCAATTTTGTACGTACGTATCTGTTTTATTGAAATTTTGTGCGTTTTAACTTTTTACGAAAATATTTGTTTTTTAGAATAGCTGAAAGCCTACCTTATCTAATTTATTTTTAAGAGGAATTTAAAACTTCATTTATTAAACAGGAACTTTAAAATCAAACTTTCAAGAGATATTTAACCATGAATCTTTTTGAAGTATTCCATGTTAAGCCTTGTGTGATAGATTTAAAGAAAGTCTTATTGTGTGGGAAAACTAATTTGATAGACAAAAAGTGTTTCAGTGTAATAGGCTTAGTTATATTTGTGATATTTAATATATAATGAATATTATTATATTAATAGGTGTTTATCATCGTCATCTTAGTTTTTGTTGCTGACTGTCAAAGAATTGTCATACCACCAGCTGTAAGTATTAACTTAATGTTTTGTTCAAACTTAGCATCGTAAGTGTATAAATTATCTTGTTTCAAAATAAGGATGTTATGCACAGAGAACTTTAACAATACATTTTCCAAAAATAAAACGTATTATGCAAATTAGCATTAATAAATACGAAAATTAAAAAAGATAGAAAATACATTTCTTCTTAAGTATTTTACAACTTTCATATGGCAATAATTAATTAAGTAAGTAAATTTATTTAAAAATTTAAGGACAGCCTCAAGTATGTTGTTGTAGAAATTAGAAGAATTTTTAAAATGCCGAATAATTTTAATATAGTTATAAAAGGCAATGTGTATCGCATATTATGCGAAAACCTATATTTTCCTTCACCTATAAATTATTCTTCAACTCGCTTTCCCATTACTCTGTATTATACTTCTCAAGTTTACTTTAAAATCTGTTAGTGGTCAAGAAAGTTTTATCGCTGAACGCTAGTAAGTTTTCCAGGTTTTGTGTGTAGTTTCCATTCAAAAGGACTGCATGTTTGACTCTTTCTCTATTTTTCTCATGTGCAAATTGATTACGAGACAGTTTCTCTTAAAAGTCATCAATGATGGCTTAAAGAGAGGTGAATATAATCCAATAATCAAATTTATACACATTATATAGCCAAGGCAGGTCTTTATAAGCTAAATGATCTAATGCCACTGGACGCATCACATGAAAAAGCTGTAAAGTCTGGCTGAGTGAAATCAGTTGAAGGTATGGTAAAAAGGGAGAAACACATTTATGTGTTTATCTTGAAGTGATATTCAACTGTCTCGGAAAGAAAAATCAAATCCATATAATTGGTGACACCTGAAGTTAGATAGCTTTCGTTACTTCAAGTCATCCTTAAAAACAACAGGAGAATTAATTCTATCAATGTTTCTCGTTGAGCTTCTCTATGACGTCTAGTGAGTCCAAGATTTATTTTATTGAGGGGTGCATCAGCCAATTTGCATTCGCTTGCAAGGGCAAGAAATTCCTGCAGACATGCTTTCATCCACTTACGTTATAAGAAATTTCTCCCGCCTTCTTCGCATGCCTTCGACGTGTGGTGGTCTGCAGGCTGGGCGCGTATTCCAGAGGTCCGTGGTTCGATTCCCGGCGAAGACTTTGCTATTTTTCATCTCTCTTGATTTCGAAAAATACCTAATGTCTTTACAACGTTAGAATAATTTCTGTATGATCTGCGTCATGTCTTCAGATTTTTGAGCTCGCTTCTCATTTCAGTAATTTTATCTTACTTTAGGGCTTGTGCATATTACGCCTGTCGTTGACTTTCTTCTCTTGGGTTCCCCTTAGGGTAATCGGGCAAAACTTTGAGACCGGAGTGTGGTCTCCTGAATATTTCACGAATGTTGGTTTTTTCTTTCTCTTGAGCTGACATGTGCAACTCAAGTGGTCTTTTAAAAATTAGGTAACACATTTAGATGCGTTAAACCACCCGAACTGATCATGTCCAAAGCGCTGGGCTCTGGCAATGAAAGTTTTCCGTTTCTAAAGGTAGTGAGATTGCATACACCAAGTACGGCGTACTTGGCGTACTTGGTATGGTACGTAGCAGAAACTTCAGGACGAAGATCGTTTTACTATCTTTAGATATGGGAACTTCGATAATGAAATTACGCAGTTTAAAGAAAATTGACACTTTGTTTCTTTCTAGTGCATTGCTCGACTTTGCAGACAGGAATGTTTTGTGAAATAATTTCATCTTTCCTTTCTTCCTCAGAAAAATCGGAGTCTTGCCTTTTTAGCGAAACTTTTATCGATGATTCTGTTCTCGTTCTAGAGGTATTGTAGGGAGCTTCTTTCTACAAGCATCCAATCGCACGGTCTCGTGCACCTTTCGTCCGGAACAGAATCTTGATGTTGCCTGAGCGAAGAATTCCTTCATATTCAGCAATCTGATGATAACTCCTGATGCAGCTCTTAAATGATCCTCTTAAATTACTCCACAAATGTGACAAAGACAGAAGCTGGAGAGTGAACCATTACTTATTCATTAGGTTGCTATTCACTTACTATGTCATTCTCTTGGAAAGGCTGTTCATCAAGCTTTTCAAATCTTTTCGTTGGAGTAACTTCTTTGACACTGGAGCTGCGACCTCTCGAACTTTTGCAGTCCATTAATCATTGTTGTCCTCATTTTTAGCAACTGCAGTATCGGAGAGCGGACGGGCTTTCCCATCTGTTCCAACGATGCTTCCTCTTATGCTTCTTCAGCCAACCTATGAGGGTCAATTGTAAACTCTCCCTTATATAGCTAACTCCTTATATCTTTGTCAATAAATTCCAGTAGACTGTCCTTCATTTTGGTATTGAGCTTATTAATCCAAGCAAGTTGAAACTCCTCAGTTTTCTGAAATTTACAGAATTCCTTTCAATTGCCACCTGTCCCCTGCAATCAAGAAATGGCTTGGGCACAACGCTGACGATGAGAAACACGGGCGGCTGAGTTTTATGCAGAAGGGATTGATTAGTTGGTAAAAGAGTATTAAAAGTCCTTGAATGTACATGGTTTCTATGTCGAAAAATAAAGGACAGATGTACCTTTCAGATGCAAATAAACATTTGTTGATCCTATGCGTGTTTTCATTTACAGAGAAATTGAGGTTAGTTTACGAATTGCACTCATAGTATTAGCATTCTTAATATTATGCACCTTTTTAATATGAGTTTTTAAACCACTTTGAAAATGAGTATGTTTCATACATATGGGTATATAAACGCATAATATGCATATATTTTGACGCATTATATTATAACTAAGCAAAAAATCATAGACAACTTAAAACATCGTTAAAAATAGTTGAAAAATTACTTACCTTGCAATATACTGCTTTGGAAATAAATTTACAAATTATGTATTTTCTTTCTTGCAGAACTATGAAAACAGAGTAATAACGCCTTACCAGTTCAGTTACACAGCTCCAGCTATAGGAGGTGTTAGCTCTCATCAACAGACTGGAGATGGAGCAGGCCGAGTTACTGGATCTTACTCTATTGAACAGGAAGACGGACTAGCCCGAATTGTAGATTATGTAGCAGATGAATATGGATTCCGAGCCTCCATAGTTACAAACGAACCAGGCACTAGTAACCAAAGCCCTGCCGATGTCACAATCTCTTCTAGTGCAGTAAATAGTTTCTCAGGTAGGTGAAGTTAATTCGTTCAAAAGTAATCCTGCATCAGACAGGTATATAAGCGTTTTGTTAAGAAATATACGAATCGAAATAACCGTCTTTTAATAAAAAGTTTCAACATATTTTTTTAATGGGATAGTAAATGCTTAATGAGTAAAACAAGAAGGATAATTAACACAAAAATGAAATTTTAGGCCTTTAAGATAAAATACGACTCCAGCTAATTCTGTTTCTCCACAGTTTATGCACTGAAAGAGTACCTGTACACTTTTTAGAAATTTATAGCTTAAAATGTTGCATGTTCATATTGCTCTGTGGTGCTGATAATTATAAAACTATTATTGATTAGCCGAATACACTGAAATTATGAAAGAACTACCAAGATGAACCTCGCTTCAATCCTTTTTGAAAACAGCGGTATTCATTAAGGACTTTCTAAGATAAAGTGACTTAGAGAAAATCGCCAAAGAAACCTATATGGATATTTCCTTTTACACCGAATGTAATCAGCATAACAATCAAAATGTTGTGTTTTTGAGTCTCAGAAAATTAGTAATTATTTATTTAAATAACTGAATTTTCAAAGCATCGCATTCTAAATATTAATTTCAATACAATTTTAACTGAATTATATCTAGATAAAAAAATGAATGAATTTAGGATATTTTCCCTATATTTATTACTTAATAATAGGTCACAAATTGTACAACAAAACGACAAACGTGACTATCAATTCGTAGCGAGTATTTTTAGTCCTTCAACAAATAAAGACTGATTCTTGACTCCCTCGGCATAGATTGAACTTTTTGTAAAGCCACGCCAATCTAAGCTTACTTTTTTCTATTTACTTAATAGCTTCTTATACGAAATTTGTGCGTTAATATGATCAAAATAATATCTGTTATCAGGGGTATGTTATTTTTACTATTATGACAACCAAACAGAATTACGGGTGATAAAATACCATTAATGTAAAACTTCATAATTTTTCTATCATTTTTTGTGAAATCATTTTTAGAATGTAAATTAAACGTTAATATTTTTTTTAAATTAGACACAATTAAGTATTATGACATAAAACATCAAAAATATATAGACAACATCGAAAGAGTTAGGGTATAGAGCTTCTTCATTCATGAATGTTGAGATAATCCTTCAGCAACTTCAGAAGAAATTACATTTGAAAACCTCATTTCACCTAATCAGAAGTAGAAGTGTTAATGTGTGCACAAATGTTAAAGATTTGTGATTGTAATAAAATATTGAAACAAACCATTTTGAAAAATTATTAGCTTAGCAATGTTAAGAGAATGAATATTCAAGAAGCAGATAAAAATTACCGAGTTTGAAATTACTGGGCTTCTTTAACGACATAATTTGACACTGAAAGTTAACTATAGAGCTAGTAATATTTTTATTCAGTTTCTCTGACACTCCTTATTAATTAGCATACTTCTCAGAAGGTTATGATGAGCCTCGCTATTACTTCTTGTTCCAAGCTAAAATTATTATAATTTCCTCCTTCATTTACTATTTTTTACTTGATTTAAAGTGCCATCCTTTTTTTTTTTTTTTTTTTACTTATATTTCTTATTTATTGAGGAAGAAGTTAGCGGTAAAAGTAAATGGAGGACATCAGCGATGTACCATGGGTCAACTGGTAGTGCCTTCCCATACTAGTTAACTCTTAAAGAAAAAAGAAAAAGAAATGCAAGCTTTATAAGAATTTATAAAGAACGGTTGAAGAAGTGGGCAACTGGAGCCTCCTGAATGATCTACAGTTTACTTACTACGGTACATCTTGCAATCCCACCCGTACGCTACGAATCCAGTATTTATTAAAAATAATGATTCAGGACATAAAGAGATTACAATATAGTCTCAATACAATTTGAAATTCACAAATTTAATTGAAGACCTGTTTTGGTGTAGGAAAAATAACAAATAAACATAATTAGTATCAGATCAACTATAGTAGGTACTGGGAACACAATGTTGTAATGAACTGTGATAATAATACTAAAGAGATTGTACATGGGTTATTTCAGCTGTAAGTGGTTATTACAGTTTATAAACTTTACAAGTGGAGTCTTTTGTACATAATCACAGGACGTAAACATTCACTAAATTTATGCAATATGAGAACTTACACTTGTCAAAGATACAGGCCGTAGGAAATAGGAAAAACTGGCAAGACTCAACTCTTCAAACTGGCCAACTAACAAGGATGGATTACTGGCCAACAAATATAATATTAATAGAGATGGACCTGCGGACAGATTTACTTTGAGAAAGGAAAGGATATTTGTGCCTGGTCTGTGAACTTTAACATGGTTTAAGAGTACACAAACAACTAAACAAACGACAAAATTCTACTAAACCACTCAAAATCTGCCTTTTTCAAAAAGAGGCAGTTTGGCGTTTCGGCTGCCCTGTTCCGAGTAACTTAATCTCACTACAGGTCGACTCTACCTTTGGGCACGTCGTGGAGGTTCAACCTCCACTATTACCCTCCAGTAGAGCCGCGCACCACCTGGATAAGACACCAGGCAGCATCGGTCGTCTATGCTCCTCCAGTCGCTCGGGCGAGCCGTCGCAGCGGGACATTACCCCCGACCCCGGGAAAACCCCCGGGTTACTAGCACCACGCCGCGCTAGGACGTCCAGACTCCGAGGCCGGCCATGAGTGCCTTTCCCAGCCTTCAGACCACCAAGTTCATAATTTTATACCCCCGTGGCCGAACTGCCTAGGTACAGATCCTAGCCAGTAGCTTCGCAGAGTTCTCTACGTCGACCCCCGGGGGGGAAAAAGGCAGTTTGAGAGTTGAAAAATACTAATTTGTAATCTGGCTACTGCAAACTGCATTGAAGCTATCTGCAATGCTACTTATAGGTGGCTAGAAACTAAAACTAGAGTTGCTATGCTCAAGAGCCCGAACTGCCTTATTCATCTATGCAGCAAGCGCTTCTGCAGGATTCGACAGTCTGCTTTCCAGCATTTCTATGGAAAGAGGTTGGCCACGTCGCCATCCCTTCTAATGAAATATTAATTGCATACACACTAACTAGAATCTGCGGTCTGCTGACATAGAAAAGCTTCATCAAACCAAGATTAGGATTTGTTTTGCTAAATTAATAAAAAAATTAAAATAATAGTTATTTAAAATATTTAATTATTTAAAATAATAACTGAATATTAAATAATAATATTAAAATTATGTTAATTATTTAGATTAATAATTTGATAATTAAAAAAATTTCAGTTATTAATACTCTAAAATATTTTTAATCTAATAATTGCATTTAAATAACTTTTTTAATTCGAAACGAGCAGTTAAAGGCATTTTAAGGAAACCTTTAACTCTGTAGCTAAAATAATGATACAACGTAAATAAATAACAAAGCTACAACAAGCTTTATAGAATTTTCAGTGTCTTAGCTGATAATGCATGCCGAATAAGTGAAATGAAATCTTATTTATTTCATCAATTCGCATATTTTTAGTTACGTGTGTTAAATATAAGTTTGTGATTATGTATCCTCAGATTGCCAATAGATGATGGCCTTACTGTTTATTTGTAAAATGCAAAAAAGAAACTGATCAGTTCGTCTCTGGTGTTCGTCAATAAACGTTCCGTGAAATAACGCTCTCTGTTTATTACTTTAAATTCGATCCAGACTGATTTATTATAAACTTACATATATTTTGTTTAACGTGCAAATGCTTATTTGCAAGTATTTTATTTGTGTTTCTTTTGAAAGTATAAATGCTTTATGTATTATCAATTCATTTCAGGTACTGCCTTAGCCATCCAGAGAGGTCCACCCATCGAATTAGGGGTAATTCCTGGCAGATTTCCCGCGCGTGGAGCACCTTTTCGCCTTCTACCAATTTATAAAAGATAAAATTGTTTTACACCCTTCAAATAGTAGAATAAAATAGCAAAAGTTATTATGTAAAATTAAGTTATTTATTTTGCTCTGTTTTGTGTTTGAATCATGCATTTGTGAAAAACTTGATTAGTTATTTTTCCGAACTTTACATTGAGATATTTCAGTTTTATGTGATTAAATGTATTTTGTGATAAGAAAGTGTTACTAAGAACTGAAAATGTTAATAAAGGAAAATATTTTGATGTAAATATCAATAAAAATTTAGCCATTCCTTTTCACTGTATTACAGAAACTTTCGCTACTACGAAAAATTAAATGGCAGTATAGTATTTCAGTCTAAGAGTTTAATTCATGTGTAATTAACAAAACTCTCAAACCTTGAACAAAAAAATTATATTGAACAATACTTCATATTTTATACATATATTTTGATTTTCTTTGATAATATCTTTAAGGTTTTTTGCCTATTGAAAGGATTTATTATTGTTATCTTAAATGTTAGATAAAATATTTTTACATTTTGTGACATAGATGCTCACTCAGGAATACAGGCATTTTGATTAATATCATCTTATGGGTTTTAAAATAAAACAATTTCCTTTTATTAAAGCAAAGGGACGTTAGCCCAGAAAGGCTATTAGTCTCGAAACATTTTACGTCGTTTCACTATAAATGTCCGTTCCACTTTTTAAATTGTTGCCACCAAATATTAGAGCCCTCTATTATATTTAAAGAAATTCAATTATGAAGAGCATGAATGTATGTATTTTTTTGTAATGTCGAAAAACAATGGCATCTAGAGCCATGAAATTTTGAATAACGTAATCTTCCATCCGAATATGGGCATCTGGGAAGCCCGAATGTGGAATTTCTAATTTGTTTTATTGTCTATTTTATATTTTGTAAAACTTTGACGAATTTTTGATTAACAAACTCAACTATTTCAAAGCAAGCAATGACAACATTGCACGAAAAAAATATTTTTATTTCCAGCACGCGAGAATGTCCATCTTAAATTCCAAAGGTAGACTATTTTTATATATTTTCAGCCCAAAGGGGCACTATCCCAAATGCTCTCGAAACGTGTATGTGTGTGCAAATGGAAAAAATGCTCCTTTGGGGGTAATATAAAAGTTGAAAGCTTTCAGATTTTTAATTGTTTTCTGTTATAATTTTACATTCTGAAACACAAAATGTTCAATAGATTTTTTTAAAAATTTGTATGCGATTAAGATACATTATGTAGTAATAACTTCTGTATATTTTTTCATCTTTTATTACTGATAGTTACATTCAATAGCAATTTTTTGATAATCATACTATTTTCATACTCGTATTAGATTACTATATTCTATAGTCATAATTTCTCTAATTTTTTTTTTCATTTTTTCATTTGTCTTAAGAATTATCCGAATTAATAATCCCAATCATACATGAAATTTCTTTGGGATATTCATTATATTATATTATATTATTAATCTTTTTTAATTGAATTAAGTTATTATCATTGTATTAAAATTATTAGTCCAAAATCCAAAGGGGCTTTTTCCCTGAGGGACTATTGTTTTCGTTTTGCGATTTTGCTTCGAATCACTCTGAATATCCGTTTCACTTTTCAAACTGTTGCCACCAAATATTATCGTCCTGTATTATATTTGAAGAAATTAAGTAATGAAATCTGCATAAATGTATGCATGTTTCTGGCAGTGTGATAAAACACGGTACCTAGAGTCATCCAATTTTGAATGAGCGTAATCCGTACTTCCACCCGAATATGCGCATCTGGAAATCCCAAATTTGGAATTTAGAATTTGTTTTATTATCTATTTTCATATTTTGTAAAATGTGTAACGAATTTTTGATTAACAAACTCATGGATTTCAAAGCGAGCAATGGCAACATTGTGCAGGAAAGAAACATTTTTATACCTCCAGCGTGCGTGAAACTGTGTATCGGAGATTCTAAAGATATGCTCAATTTAAAATTATTTTGCGATATTGCTCTTGAACTGAATTTTATGGTTTAAGTGCGAAGAACGTGATACTTGATAAATAAGGGTAATCCACAAAATGTTTAAAAAATTCCCCTTTGGACGTAATGAAACCTTTCAGATTTTTTTTATTATTATTATTATTTATTTTTGCTTATTCTTATGATTTATTTTTACTTTAATAAATTTATGCTTCTTAAATATAAATTTAAATGTTATCACCTTCTCGTTATTTCACTTGTAAAATATGCATCCAACAACAACTACTTCACTAATGGGAAAACCAGTATTTACGTAATGTAAGATTCGGTATAAACTATACATAGATCAAAAATGAAAATAAAAATGAAAACGTCTTTCTTTCCTTACCTGGCAACCGTCTGTTGAAAACGTACGAAAATGGTTGCTATGATCTGAATTACCATGAAACAAGTTTCAGCTGGGTTCTCAGTCTCAAGGTTTTATTTTATGTAACAATTCTAAGCTGTGTTGCAAAATTATGTCGCACTGACAGTATTAGAGCATTAAAAAAATTAGGAATTGCAGAAAATGTAGATTTCTTATAAGCAGAAAATAAAATCACTTTTAATTTAGTTTCAAGTAAACCGCATAAACTGAGGTAAGCTTCACTATTTTTATTCTATTGAAACATTTTAGTAAGATTTTGTTATATAAATGTGTATTGTAAACTTATTCTGTGGATAGTTAAGAACGAGCTCAAGCTTGAAAGTAATATCTTTTGATCAGGTATTCTATTCGAGGCAAAAATGCATCGATTATTAAGGTTTTTTAAAAAAGATATTAGCACTAAATGAGAAAAAGTTCTCAAGTGATACATAGTTAGGTATAATGAAGCTAGGTATCGATTTTCATTTTACCAATTTTAATGTTATGAATGTTTGTATAATAATAAATTATTTTTAGGTATTGGTATTATCCAATACTCTTGTTCCGTACTTGTAGGATTAATAATGAAACTAGCCTTAGGGAAAAAAAAAATGTTTCTTGGCTTGCAAAAGGAAATCATCATTTCATCCAGTTTTCACTCAAGTTTTTCTTAGTTGATATCCAACAGTATTGACACAGATTTTTCCTATGAAAAAACAACTATTTCAATAGAATAATTTGTGCTTGTTATCCTGTCCATAGACATTATTACGGTTATTGAAGTTACAGAACATTTTCATTTAACTTCTTATTACAAGATTCTTATATGATTTCTTAGAATTATTCTAATTCATAAGATAACTAATATAAAGTTTTTTTTAACCAGACACATTAATAAAGTCGTGTAAATCGTTATGCTTCTTTACTTTTATAATATTCTAGCCTGAAGTCTATATATTACTCATTGTATATAGGAAATTACCGAGTGTTTTGAATAAAATCATTTTTGTATATTATCACAATCGTATGTTAGTGAAGAAATCATAATAGTACTCCGATTTAAAATTGCTTTCTCTCGCTCATTTAGAAACATTTAAAAAGTTCAATATTTTTTATCATTTAGAATATTATTTTATTGAAACTAAATAATATTTACGCTTTCGTTAACTCATCAGTAACAAAGAAATAGTACAGCTCTTAGATTTTCGTTACAGCTAAAACCGATAAACGCCTATTTCAAAACTGAGTTTAATACAAAAAGTATAGCAGTTTGTTTATCAGAACCGTCAGAACTTAGACCACAATAAATGCAAACAATTTGGTGATGATGCTGATTCAACCTGAAGAATGTTATGCGCATCGTCTCTAGAGTTTGACGGATAATGAAAATTTGCCAACACTTGCTAAGGTGGCTGCGCTAATACGTAAGTACCACATAATTTTAAGTAAACCTTAATTATTTATAAAATGACAAAGTACAAATATTAAACGTTACCATGCTAGAGGATTTTCACTCTGTTCTTAATCAGTATTTTAGCTTTCTGATCGTTTACATTCTCAAAATTTTTTAAATTGTTTCTTGTATATCAAAGGACTTAAACAGAAATTAGCACTTACAAAACAAAGAGAGATACATTTTGCTGCCCAAATATTTAACTCTAAAGTTCCATAATTAACATGTTTTGTTTATGTGATTCAGGGAAGGCCTCGAGAGCTATCTGCCTAAAGGGAGAGATGCCTTAGTGGAGGACTTCTAAAGGATTCTTGGCTCGTATACATATTACATATTCATAATGTACAGAATAATTTGAGAAGAAATGTTCAAATTTAAGTACTGGACGTATTAAATCTCAATTCTTTTCTACATGTAACACTTTTTAAAATAAATTTTGGACTTTTTAAATATCTTACAGAATATGAAGTAATTTTTGTACACTTCATTATATGGTTTTCATCATTTTTATAATAAATTTATGTAATAAAGACCTTGTTGTGTTAGCAAATGATCATTCATAAAATTATATGTGACTTAAACGATGACAGTCCTAAGAACTCATTGTTAAGTTATAAAAATCAAATTGTAATTAATTGAAAAGTTATAAAAATCAAATTGTAATTAATTGAAAAGTTATAAAAATCAAATTTTCTCATATGTACTCGTAGTATTTGATTTTCGAAATATAACTGCACATTTGCAATCCAGAATAATTAATAAGGCAAATTATAAGAAATTACTTATAAAGAGGTTGTAGTGTTCCTCCCTTTTATTCTCTAAAAACTAAGTGTTGAGGAACCTAAGCGAATAATTCCTTAAGTCCAAGAACAGAAACGTAAGCTCAAGAAGTGTTAATTACCCTTTATTTGCTCCAAATAAAAATATACAGCCGGCCCCTTTCTAAGGGCGTATAACAAAGGCTCCACTTAACTTAAAATGTAAGAAATAAGAACTAACTAAAGTTTAGCCGAAGCTAATACAATTCTAACCTAGTTGACTCGTAATATTAAACTAGCCAGCGAAGCTGTCGAAAGGCACGTAATACTGTCGAGCGTAGTAACAGTTAGAAAGACTTAGCCGAAAGGCAAACGCGCATTATTCAGGAATCCTAACTCTTTCTGTCGTTGTCAGTGGAACTTTGACTTAAATTAAATACTTCCTACTTCTCATTTGCATTTAACGTGATTCTAAAAACT